CCCCCCCCCCTGATGCAGCCGAACCTTCTTATCAACTAATTCTGTGCAGTCTCACGTCCCAAGACGCTAAGTCCTAGAGTCCGAGTCTATCGGTATTTACGGTGTGTTTTGCACTTCATGTACCCTACTTGACTCTTGTATTACCATATATAAACAAGCCGAAACCGAAACCGGATTCTGGTTCTGGATTCTGGTTGTGCTGCTGCGCTCTTGCTCCACTGCTCTTACAATCTGGCAAGGTCACAGTTTTAAATGTTGATGTTTCGGAAAAGAACTAGTCTCTCTTCATCACACTCCAAATACATTCGGTCAGAAGTAAAGTGTGTCGAGCTTCTTACGCTTTGTAACGCGAACGGAACAGCTACTCGCTTCTTTATACCATGTGGAATGACATCTCCAGCTCAACTAGAGCAAGTCAGATGTTTGCGTGCTAGCAGCAAGAACAAAAGCAAAGACCAGTAAAGATCAACTTTTCTTTTCCCGATAAGGATTATGGAAGTACACCGGTACACCATTTTATGCTTCGTGGGAGTTCGGACGACATATATCTGAAAGCGTTCGTTGCTCCTCTCTTAGCGAGAAGCAAAAGACCACCTGGTTCCTGCAAAGCAGGTTCGGCTGGATCATGGGGGGGGGGGGGGCGTGAGCATATATTTATACATATATATATATATATATATACATACATACATGCATCTATATATATATATATAATATGTACATAACACTATCTAAACATCTGTGTATACATCTATACATACATCTATGTGTATATATATATATATATGTAATATAATATAATATAATACAATATACTACAATATGGGGGCACCTGACTTGCTTGGACTGCTCACTAGCGCCTGGAAGGAAGAGCGGAGCCCTCGTCCTGGCAGCCAGCCGGCATCCACTTCTCCTGCAGATGCTCGGCTTCTCCATAGTTGCATCCGCTGAACTCGATGCAAGTCTTTGAGGCTGGCATGTCTCTGTCTCTGTCTCTCTGAGCATGCGATCGCAGGCATGCACGCTGTAAATGCTCATGCGGAGCAAGTTCGAGGCATGAGGTAAGTACATGTGGGTGAGTCTGCATGCATCAAGAAAGCCGGCATGTGTTTGCCCATGTCTGGATGGATCGAAGCGAATGCCGCGATGTGTAACAGAACAGACCTACAAAGCTGCAGGCCCTGCAAGACGATCCTGCACCAAAGCAGACGCAGGCTGACCTCACTGCACGTCCATCGTCATGAAACCAAAGAAGACTTCACGAGAGGCCGCTGCGTACGCGCTTAGGCTCCGGCATCTTTGGCCAGGCTAGACAAGGACCTGATAACTACCGCAGCGGCTCTGCTGCGCAAGGCCTGGGCCCATGGCCCTCTCTGACAGTTTGAACGAGAAAGCGCTTCTATGCGCTCACTGTGTTGCGGAGTGCGGAGTTTGCATTGACCTCTATTCGTGCTTCAGTGACATGCAAGAATCACCCGACTCGCCAATCCCAAGTATGTACGGAGTCGATTGCATGGATGTTACTAGCATGAGCTGAGTGCTGCTGCTTGGGCCAGGGCATCATGAGAATCACTGCTGTAGCACTGATCTCCTGCACTGGGCCTTCGATGCAGTGACTGTGGGACGCGGTGTCCGACCAGGGCTCAACGACCTCTGTTGATTGCACGCCCGTCCTTCGAGTTTATCCAACTTTCAGCGCTGTCGATGCAGTGGTGTGTGCCGTGGAAGCCTGCGACGTAGACCTTCCGTGCGGTCAGAGTCACAACGGTCAGAAACTCAACGACCAGCAGACGCCTCCGGCATGAGCCAAGCTCCACGTTTCAGCCTCTCAGGCTTCGGCAGGCGGTCCTGCAATAGCTCGTGTTTGTGTCGCTGGGCACTTTTCTCAACATGTGCGGTATTGCGCGGTCCAGTGCATGCGCATGGCTCATCAGAATGCGGCGCAAGTAGGCGAAGTCGAGGTCTTCGCAGCAGCATCCGCTGCAGGACTTCCAGCATGTGTTGCCTGGCATAGCCACTCGTGCGTCACTGTACCAACCATGGAGACGAGAGCTTAAGTGTGGCGGAGCCAGGAAGGTCATCATCATTGACATTGATGGCCGGATTTCGTCATATCCTAATGGACTATAATTCCACCAAACACGCACAGTGTGCTCTTATTGGTAGTACAGTGTGGATTGGCGCTTATGCTAGGGTACGGCCGGCTCGGATCATGCTGTCTGAATCAACTCCTGCTCATCGTCATCTTGGTGGTCATCAGTACAGTCGCTTCCATCCACATATGAACAACATCATCATTGCACTTGTGCGAAGCTGCTTCTCGCGGTTCCCGCAATGATGCTGCCACAAGGAACATTACCGCCGCGACAGGTAGTAATGTCGTTCCTCGTCGTCTTTGCAGACATCGTGGCGGTAGCGGTGGATATGGTGGTGTCATCGCGATGGGTGAACAAGAAGACGGGAATGATCTGCAGACAGAGTAGCTTCACGCCTGACCATGCGCTGCAGCAAGCAAGACAGTCCTTTCGACAAAGTTCTTGAAAGCTCTGCCGAGCTGCATGCGGCCAGGTCGTGGCGTTGCCGACATGGCTTGCCAGGCTAGGAAGCATGAACCCTCAACGCCGTAAAACCTCCAGGTAGTGAGATTTCTGGTCCGCTTTGAAAGGCAGTGTGGGCATCGGGCACCTGCTCCACCCCCTTTCGCGACACAGCTGCATGAAACCCTAGAGGTCCGGAGGGGATCACTCAGCACTTCCAAGCTGCTCTAGAGAAAACGAGGGGCGACGCTTCAACAGCCAAAGGGGTGTCAGCGCAATGGCGCCTGAAGCTGATCAGAGCCATCGTTGTGAACACGATGATGCGAAGATGAAGAACCGCCCTGTGAGCGCTCACTTGACTCCAGAGTTGCAAGACCATCACTTCGACACCGTCTCAATTTGCAGGTTGAGTATGCCAAGCCTGTCAGAGCACACCTTGCAACCCCACCAGCTCCTCCCCCGTCTCCAGCTTCTAAAAAAGCAGCGCCATGTCTTTCCCAACACATCCACGAACTTTCTTCACAGGCACCAGGCCCTTTAATGAAACCAGGTTCATAATATGGTATAGGAAGCATGTGGAAGCGCTTGCAGCTATGACAGATATGATGCAGATCAAAACGAAAATGCAAAGTGTGAGCAACGCCCCATAATGTTCGCGCGCCTGTATATCGACGTCTGCAGAAGTCATGCGGCAGAACTCGTGCCGAACCGTGTGTCAGTTGAGTAATGAACTTTCCATGCCACATGATGGACCTGGTCTAGGCTCCTTGGGCCTATGACCCACGAAGGTGCCCTGTGCATCGATTCCACGCGGGGTTCCTGTACATATGCAAAGTAGAAATGCCGAACACCCCGCTTTGGAAACGTGTGGAAGAAACCTGCCAACTGCATCACAGAGCCCATTTCCACAAGCAACCGTGTTCTGTGCCTGTAATTGGAGCTTCTTTTCACATCCTGCGCGCATGCCAACTTGCGAGACGTGTTCTTTGGGCAGAGTACAGAGGACCATGAAACAAGACACGTCCTACCCAGAAATCGACTCGAATGCTCCGCTGAGCCTTTCGGCAGGAATGCTCCGGGCCAAAGAGTGCTGCTGTCACAGCATATCAATCAGGCGCACTCGCGGAGATGGGCTGGGTGTGCACCTGCCACAAGATGTCAATGCATCAGAAAACACCAAGATTAATCTTATACAATATCTTTATATTAATGTACGCGAGCAGGCTGGACAACATCTGCATATGTTTGTAGCTTGTATATTACACACATTGGCATGATCAAGGGGGTGATGGCAATGGCTTTGATGGTGGTGGGGATGACAACCTCGGTTCTGGCGATTAGCACTTCTGGATGGTTTACATTACTGGCCATACTGTTCTTTAGCTCTGCCTTTCCAGCACGACCTTTCCCACACGACCGCTGCTTCATTGTGCGACTATCCTGTCAGTCAGCTATTACTGTTGTACTCTTCCTGAAACCCTGAATCGGTGTCGACTCCTGCTGCTTGTGAGGCGACTGGCTTTCGGCTCCTTTTGAGGGCATGCTGAAAGGCTGATGAACCGCGGGTGGGAATCGTCTGAGAAACTCGAGAGGTCTCCGGATCAAGACGAAGATCTTTTGAGGCGTTCTCAAGGTTCGGGGACGGCACCCGGCCGCGCTTGGAGCCGCCCAGTCGTCCTCCGCCGTACGGGACACCAGGCCGTTCTCTGAGTTGCGCCTTCTCCTCTAAAGTCTCTCCCCGTCTCTTTTTTTAGATCAGCAGCAAGGCACCCAGGCTGAGGAGCTTCGGGAGGAGAGTCGTGGTGGCAGTGGTCGCAGTCGTCGCAGCCTGGGGGACGTCTTTCAACTTGAAGGCTTGGCCCCTGGAGGCGTTCTCGGCGAAGAGCCCCAGGCAGAAGAGCGCGGCCGGGACCTCCTCGGGGCGCAGCTGCAAGGTCTCCCGGTTCACCCAAAGCTTCGTCACGTTCTCCTCGGAAAGGAGCACCGCCCGCAACTGCGGCGCCCGCACGAGGCGAGCATTGTCGGGAAGGCTTTGGAGGGCCTTCTGGGGGAACTGGGACAGCGGGAGGCCAAGGAAGGCCTTGGGATCCTTGGAGCGGGCTTTGGACAAAGAGAGCAGCGGATTCAGCTCGGCCGTTACAGGGTTGTGCTGCATGGAATGGAAACGGGCCAACTCCAGAGCCCACAGAAAAAAGTGAGGCGCCTTCTTCAGTTCTCCCAAGGTCTCCAGGATCGACACGGCTTTCCCCCGCAGCTTCAAGGTCTGCTTCTTGCTCTTGGAAGCCGCAGCCTCCAGGCGGCTGGTGAGATCCTGGAACTCCTTTGTCAGAAGCGGAAGGTACCCTTCCGGCAAGTCCTGGTTGCACAGAGACGTCAAGAGCTTTGCCTCGGAAGCGCCGGAAATGCTGAAGCCCGGCACCCGGGCCATCTCAGGGACGGAGGCCGTGAGCTGTGAAAGGAAAGCAACCAGAGGAAGCTCGTCGTCGTCCGGCTGGAAGTCACTGCCCGAGGCGAACTTCTTGATGCGAAGGCCTGGCTGCAGAGCCTTGTGGATCATGGCAAGGAATAGTGCCTGCCAGACATAAAACTGCCGTTCCAAGTTCACCGTCAAGTGCATGGAGAAGTCTGAGTAAGTGTTAGCTCGATGTAGGGTGCCGAAAGGAAGGTACATGACATCACCGCCTTGCAAAGTGACGTTGGAGCACGAGACGTTGAAGTTCTTCAGGATCTCGTCTGGCGGCTGCCCCGGAGCCATCCAGCTGGGAACGTCGCAAACCGTCCACTCTTTGCGACCTGGGGCAACTCTTGAAGTGGGGATCTCTCAGGGGCCTGGGGGGATCTCCTGGAGATCTCTGAGGGGAGCTTGAAATTGACATGCCCCTTGATATGTTGGCTCGAGGTCGCCTGACAGCTGCACCATGAAGGCGTCCATCACCTCAGCCATGGCCCGCTCCCTCCCGAAACCACCCAAAAAAGGAAATCCCGCACATTAGGGCTGAGCAGCTCCTGTAAACCGTATATATATATATATATATAATAGTATATATATATATATATATATATATATAATAGAATATAGAATACAGAATATAGATACATATAGCTAGCCAGAGCGAGTAGCGTCGGAGTGCAGGCCGTAGCTCCGTGAGTGGGGAGGGGTGAGGTACATGTAGACGTCCACGGGAAGGTAGGCGGCGGCGTAAAGCTGCTTCGCCAAGCGGGCCCCAGGCTCCGACCACTTGTGCAAGGAGTTGATGACCATGGAAAAGCCTTGCATAAAAGCCTCGGAGACCTGTTGAAGGCTGCTGGTGGCCGTCGGGGAAGGACGAAAGGACTTCTGGGTCACCGGGTGCCTCAAGAGCTCCAGCACCTCTTGAGAACTGCCTTGGCTTCGGATCCACTCGACCACGTGGTCCAAAGTGATGGGCACCAAAGGCTCGGGGTGGGGGAAGTGCGCCCAGGTCCTCTCGAAGACCTCGTTGAAGAAGGGCTCGCGTTCCAGTGGCTGGATCCACTGCTCCAGGATGTCTTTTTCCGCAGACACACTGCGCAGAATCAGAAGCCACAAGGGCAGAGCCTGCCTGAGGAAGCTCAGTTTCATCAATGCGAAGAGTCGAACTCCAAGTCAGCGATCCGCTCGTGGCCCCGGAGCCGCAGTTCCGACAGCACACAGGCGCGGTACTTCTCCCAGGCGTCCCCGCAACCGCTCCCCTCGAGCCTCTCGAGCTTTCCCTCCAAGAAGCCCGTCCTGTACCAGTGGATGAAGCACCTTCGAAGAAAGAACTTGATTCCTTCAACGACCTTTCGCCTTTCACCGTATGTCGAAGAAGCCCGAAGCAGCAGTAAACTAGTTTCTGACACACTAGACACCCCTCCTCCCCTTTGTTTTCGGAGGGCACTTGTCGTAGACCTGGCGAAGCTCACTGCAGTTCTTCGAGGCACATGCAACAGCCTCGGAGAGGCTGCACTTCTGTGCAGGGGACATGCTAAGAGCCTTGAGCCATGAGGGCCAGCCCAGTCGATCAGTGCACAGGACTCAAGTCCCCGAGTCTCCCAGGGCCTCGTCCCGTTGGACTTCCAGACCTCAGCGCTTCAGGCACTTTGAGAACAAAACTCCGCACAGTGGTGCCCCTCGACTTAATTGAGTCCGCGATGCTCGCCATGTCTGACGCACAGGGAAGATGTGGCAGGGTTCGAGCACTAGATGCTGAAGGGCACACGAAGACGAAGATGAGCTGGCCACATGGCCGCAAGGATGCACCACACTTCCACGCTCGTTGAGGACATATCGCGAAACAGAACTCGGTCAAAGAAAACAAGGCTCAGCTTTTTGATCTCTGCTTTCCGGCTTGAGCCCCATCAGAATCAAGGGCCCCTGCAGAAATCGGACGATCACTGCTGTTGAGCAGTGCTGAAGCTTCTTCCCAGTCAACCCAGAAGGCAAGAGCCACACTCTTGCTCCAAAGTGACGAGGGACAGCCCAAGCACAGCGGACGGCTATCAGCTCCACAACATCGAAACTTCAGCTCAAAACACTCTCCGCAACGAGGACTGCTTGAAAACACGCAGGTCTGGAAATGACTAACGCCAAAGCCGCCAATTGTGCCGCAACAACGGCTCCAGACCAGGATTTCTTCGATTTCGTGGTAGCATGCTGTTGCAAGTGACATTCGAAGGCTCAACAATCAAATAGTCTATCTGCATCCCACACAATGAGCGAATGTAAATGGATAATTGCCTGGCGGAGCTGGGTATGTTCAGATCAAGCCAGCTTCCTCTCGAAGATCTCCGTGTTCACCTCAGAGCTGAGAGCTCACGTGTGGGAAAAATAGGGGGCCCCCGGACCGGGCTCAGGGATTTGGCGAGCAGCAGGATAGGAGGACTCCACCTGCAGCTGCCTCTTCTGCCGAAGCCGGACCTTCCACGTCTGCAAAACAGAGTAACGGAGTTCTTCGGCAGCTCCGCCCCTGGCACTGGCTTTCCGAAGATTCTGCGGGCCTTGGGCGTGGAAGGCGGCGGCGATGCCTCGAGGTCCCCGGACCTCGGGCACAGGACCACACTGACTCACTCTGCCTTGCTGGCTTGGTTGCTTAGCCTGCTTGCTTTACACAAACCCGCCCGCAGACTCATGCACCAGCATCTTTGCAACCCCTCAGTCCGCTCGTGTCCGTTCATCTCCCGTCCTTTTCACCGTCCCGGGAAAAATCTGAGGCCCTTGACCTGCTTTTGCGCCGAAGCGGCGAGACGGGCCTTGGAGCCCAAGCCGAAGCGTTATCTGTCGTTGGGGGCTTTGGGCCTTGGGCTTAGATCTGACGAAGTCTTCGCTACTTCTAGCACCTCCAGGCTGCAAGTGACACTGCGAGACACCCGAGCAATCGTACCGTATCTTCATCTGCTGCCTCCATGCAGATCACGCACCTTAAACCCGTCAACCAACCGAATCCCTGGCGTGCCAGCCAAGGATCGTGGTCTCAGGCTCCGTCGTGTACGTCGATGCCACCCCCATGGCTGCCATGGACAGCCTCAGGTGCGGCGTCCGTTCTCCGAAAGATGAC